TTACTCGAGGGGGTCTGGGTCTTTTCCGCCCCCGAAATGGATCCAGACCTCCGGGGGGTCAACGATGGCCCGCGGACGCCAGCTGCGGGCCCCCTCTGCAGGGGCGCCCCGCCCTTCGCGCCGCGTTTCCAGGGCCCCCGGGCGGCCCAGAGAGGCATCGGGACAGCGGGTGTTCATAGGGGGCCTTCCTCCCCTTCTCCTCCTGTCTGCTTCCCCTTTTCCCAACTCCCCCACATCCTCATACCCTCCACCTCCTCCTCCTCCTCCTCCTCCTCCTCCTCCTCCTCCTCCTGGTGCTCTCCCATCCTCCCGCCTCATGTGATGCACCTTCTCCTCGTTATGGAAACGGCGGCACTCTTTTGAACGAGACGCGGTCGTGAAGCTACACGGGCAATCGAAACAAGATGGGACGACTCGCGTGCGGAGCTCATCTGCAAGGTGGCTCAGCAAGTTGAAAACGTCTGTGCGAAAACGCCTGTGCGAGAAGGCTGTTGATATGAGGAGGGGAGGGAGGAGATACCACATATGGGCGCTGACGACTGAATGCCGTCAAGTATCAGCTGCTACGGGGAATTCAAAGCATGCACCATCCTGGGAGGAGACATAAGGAGGATAGAGGAGGGAATAGGAGGGAGACCAGAGAGCCACCAGCTCCTAAATGAAAGACCGAGGTGCCTGGAAGGCTACCTCAGCTGCAGGTCGGTCCGACAGTCCGACACACCCGCGAGCCAATTGCAACACACATGCCGAGAGGCCCGCTGACCGTTCCCTGCTGCACGGCTAGCAGGGGTCATGGCAGCAGCAGCTTAGATAGAAGAAGGATGACGACCTTGATGCAGGCTAAAGGGATACATCAACATAGATGCCCGTCAGGGTAAACAGATAGAAATTAGAAGCTTCTCGCAAATGGACGCCACCTAAAGCGCTCAGTCTGGCAGCCTGACGCGCCAGCGAGAAGCTCAGAGAAAATCGGCCGACCCCCAGGGTCTCCCGCGTGTGGCAGAATCTGAGAAAAAGAAGGAGAGTGAGAGGGAGAGACCGCGTGAGTCTGGCAGACGACAGCATCGATTTCGGACTCGTGGATCTGGTGCGTGGGCGCCAGCTCCGCGGATCGGGAAGGCAACCCTGAAGCACACGAGGCGCGCGCCGATGCTGCAGAGAGCCGCGGGACCCGCCGCTGACCCACGCGCCTTCCTCCATGGTCGCAGATCGCGGTTCCTCGAGCGTGGACATCGAAGGTCCATGCTCGGCGGCGAGCGAGGGGGGGAACGTCGAACCTCGAACACTCGACCCTCGAACCTCGATCCTCAAACCTCGACCCTCAAAGCTCCTGATCCTACTATCCCCCGTGGGCCTATCCCCCCCCACGCCGGCGGCACGCCCGGGGGGGAAGGGAGAAGGGGCGGCGCGGAAGTCCCACAGCCTTCGGAGAAGTTCTCTGAACCTTCCCTGAAGACGCAAACCAAAACCTCTCGGAAGGCGCGAGGGCTGCTGAGAAGCCCCGCCGCCTTCTGAGAAAGCCTTCAGATGGCTCCACCATGGACTGGTGGTGTTTCGTCTGGCCGTGGAGGACGACGAAGCTGACGACGAGGCCGACGAGATGATGAAGACGACGACAACGCCGACGAGACCGACGACGACGACGCCGCTGACGACGACGACTACGACGACGACGACAACGACGATGACGACGACGACGAGGCCGACGACGACGACGAGGCCGACGAGGCCTCGCGTCGTCGGCCTCGCGTCAGGATGGGCCCCCAGGCGGGCTACGATGGCTTCAAAATGGTCCCCAACATGGTTCAAGAGGGCTCCAGGGAGCCTCAAGAGGGAGATGCCTCGAGAGAGCCGAGCATGTTTCGGAGGGAGACGCCTCAAGATGGCCCACGATGCCTCATGACGGTTCCAACATGGCGTCAGGACGGACCCCCCAGGCGGGCTACGATGGCTTCAGGATGGCCCTCGGCATGGTTCAAGAGGGCTCTGGGCAGCCTTCCGAGAGGCCCCCCCCGCACAACAACAACTGTCCCAAACTTTGTTTGCTCCTGCACCATGTTCTGGAGTCCCTCGAAGCCGAGTGCCCTCCAAGAGGTTCCAAAAGGGGCCGCAGACACCCTGGACAAAAGTGGATCACAAGGGCTTAGCTGCCCCGAGACACAACATGCAACACGTAGCGTGCTGACACGGAGCTCGACACGTACACTGAAAACGTAGGTCTGGCGCGATACATTCGCCAAAACGTGAACCAACATGTTGAACCAGCGCGCAACGTATTGACCCGGACGTCTTCAGCACGGTACGTGAAGCGCTTCAACACGCGCGTATCGAGGCAGCTGAGCATACGTTGGGGGGCGAGTGTTTGGGAGAGTGTGCTGCCCTTGGGCCTGACAGGGTTCCCCTGGGGCTCTGACGCCAGTTACAAGATGCAGCCGTCGAGCCCCAAGGCGGTCTTCTTCCCCACGCCCGCTCCAGAGCCACATGGACCCCGAGAAGGACTCTGAGCTGCATAAGGCTGCACGGACACCAAGAGAAGCTGCGTGAACGCCAAGCCAGAACTTGTCCGCATGACCAGACCCGAGCGCATGTACCATGGGGCGCCACCGCTGGGAAGCCTGCGGGTAGCAGCCGACTGCGACGACGGCGACAAGGACGACGCCGACCACGACGAGGACGACGCCGACGAGGAGGCCTCCGCCGCCGACGCCGCAGAGGTCTGAAGACGCCAGCTGCACCAACATCTGTTGCCCGGACATTGTATGCTGCTACGCTCATATGCTGCAGGCTGCTACGCTCTGTCTGTGCGAGCCAAGCGGTGAATGCTTCGCTGGTGAGGATACGCGAAGCGTCAAGGGTATGGAGACACAGCTCTGCGAGGCAGCCGCGACGTGCGCACAGACAGTTCCTGCTCCTGTCCTGCCCTGGCTGCCGCACAGCTCTGGAGCCGGGCCGAGGAGCAGGAGGCAGGGCGGGTGGGGAAACCGACTGCGCCTGCCTGGCGCGCTGCGTCTTCCCCGGGTGCGCCGCATCCCGAGGGCGCAGCGCGCAACCACACGCTGGCCAAATGCCCAGGCAGACGTGGTTCAGAGATCGGGCGGGCGGCCCTGCAGCATCAGAACGCACGACGCGGTGCCCCAACGCAGAGGATCTGCGGCGGAGCAGCAGCGGTTTGCTCGAGGCAGGCCCCTCGGCCTCGCGGCGGGCTTCGACGATGCCACGGCATCGCCGACCCCATCTACGTAAGGGACCAGAGAGGAGCTGACCCAGACCCCAACGCCATGATTTGAGCAGGGACCGACCGTCCTGGCATTCATACAGTCATACCACGAAATTTTCTTAGAACCCAAGAATGCTCTAAGAACCGAAAAAAGTTCGTAGAACATAAGACCGGTGTGTTGAACCAAGACAGCCCCGGTCAGACATGTTCTAAGAACATCTCGTGAAGTCCACAAGCGGTTCTCAGAACATTGTTTGGTAGGGCTATAGGCGAGCCAAAACGCTTCGCCACTGCTTGCATGATGCTTCAGAACGTCGACCCCCAGAAGTCCCGACCCCTTCCCCAATCCGGCTCGTCATCCGGGGGCAATTCGTGGCGGCCCCGGGGCGCGTCCGGGGCCCCCAGAGGCCGACAACTGCAGGAACCATGGGGACGACCTCGATAACCTGGACGGCCTTGACGGCCTTGACGGCCTTGACTTCTGGATACCATGACAATGGACACTCTAAAAGCTCAATCGTTGAGTTGGTGATGCTTGAAAAGTGCGTTCCACAAGTTGTAGCGATGTTTTCAGCATCACTGAGCATATGATGAACCCATTTCTGCACCTATAATTAAGGCATGGTCTAAGCATGTCGTGACATCTTGAGACCACTTGGCAACATGCCTCCTCTTCAGTGATCGTGTTCCACGAGCCTTGGCGACCTCCCGCGCTGATGTTTCGCCACGGCGCGAGGGGGTCTGGGGAGGAGGCAAGAGGCTGCGGGCTACAGGCCGGGCTGGCCAGCGGCAGAAGAGCACGACACGAACAAGCAACCGTCGACGGGCCGCGCGGAGCTCTTGAATATGCGCCGGCTACCTGCCAGAGCCACCCCAACCCAACCCGAAGACCGAAAATGCGAGTGAAGGGGGGTGCGGATTCCATGTGCGGTGTGTTTCGACCGAGGGCAGAACATCCACCCCGAGAATAACCACTCCGACACGCGAGGCATCGTCGAACAGGGCAGGGCTGCTTGGTAAACGCCCAAGGCCGTTTCGTAAACGCCCATTGTCCGGTGCGGGTGGTCTTTCCTTCCCTGATTCCATGTTGAAGTCGGGCCTGTCCCCCTGCAGGGAGATTTTCGACAAACCAAGAAAAATACCCCAAAAATAATCAACAAATAGTCCAAAAATAGTCTGGGGACTATTTTTTGAATATTGTTTGACCTTTTGGGGGCATTTATTTTTCGTCGAAAATCCACCTGTACGGGGACAGGCCCGACTTAATTCCATGTCCTGGGACGCCCCCCCCCCAGGAATGGAAGACAGAATGGGGCCTTCGGGTTGGCCTATGGGGGTGGTTCGGTGGGTGGCCATGCGCCGGGCCCGCTCCCTCCGCCTCCCCCTCCTCCTCCTCCTCCTCCTCCTCCTCCTCCTCCTCCTCCTCCTCCTCCTCCTCCTCCTCCTCCTCCTCCTCATCCTCCTCCTCCTCCTCTTCCTCCTCCTCCTCCTCCTCCTCCACCTCCTCCTCCTCCTCCTCCTCCCCCCTCCCCCTCCCCTTCTCCTCCTCCTCCTCCTCCCCCTCCTTCTCCCCCCTCCTCCTCCTCTTCATCTTCTCCCCCTCCTCCTCCTCCTCCTCCTCCTCCTCCTCCTCCTCCTCCTCCTCCTCCTCCTCCTCTCCTCCTCCTCCTCCTCCTCCTCCTCTCCTCTCCTCCTCCTCCTCCTCCTCCTCCTCCTCCTCCTCCTCCTCCTCCTCCTCCTCCTCCTCCTCCTCCTCCTCCTCGCCTCCTCCTCCCTCTCCTCCTCCTCCTCCTCCTCCTCCTCTCCTCCTCCTCCTCCTCCCTCCTCCCCCTCCTCCTCCTGCTCCTCCTCCTCCTCCTCCCCCTCTGCGGAGCGCGCGGTCTGTCGACGGTCCGCGTGGGGTTCTTGGATCTGCGCCAGGCCTGCCTCCCTGGCGCGCGGAGCGCGCCAAGCGCGGCGCCGGAGGGGGCCAGCCCCGATCTCATCCCTGTTGCTAGGCCTGACAAGCCGAAGGCCTCGGGAATCTCAGGGGTGCGCCCTAGGAGACCGAGGAGGTCCTGTGGATCTGCGTCGAGACAAGGTGATGCCAATCATGGGGATAGAGATATGACCCAGGCTGGTAGGAACACATGCGCTGCCGACGGTCCGCGCGGTTTTTTCGGGGGGGATCTGCGCTGGGCGCCCGCCTTCCCGGGAGCGCGCGGAACGCGCCAAGTGCCGCGCCCGAGGACGATGCCACAGGGAGCCCATTCCAGAATCTGGATCCCTGAGTAAGCGCTCCTCCTCCTCCTCCTCCTCCTCCTCCTCCTCCTCCTCCTCGCCCCCCCCTCCTCCTCCTCCTCCCTCCCCTCCTCCCCCTCCTCCTCCTCCTCCTCCTCCTCCTCCTCCTCCTCCTCCTCCTCCTCCTCCTCCTCCTCCTCCTCGTGGCGCGGTGCGCTTCCTCCCGGCCGCCGCGCAGCAGCGGCGGGAGCGCAGCACGTCCGGGCCTCGGCGGCGGGCGGGTGCAAGAGGCCTGCGGAGGTCCTCGCCCCGCCGGCTGGTGCGGGACGCCGCAGGGGAGTCGAGGCTACAACATCTAGATGTAGGTCGGGCCTGTCCCCCATTACAGGGGGGATGTCCGAGGAAAAAGAAGCACGACCCGAAACATGCCCAAAAAGGTGAAAGAAATCTCGAAGAATAGCCCCCAGACTATTTTTGGGAGCATTTGTTTGACTATGTCAGGGGTATTTCTTGTTTTTCGTCGGAAATCCCCCTGTAGAGGGACAGGCCCGACTTAAATCCAGATTTCTGTCCCCTGCGTAAGCGATGGTACGAGGCGCTGCAAGGAACCGAGGCTAGAACATCTAGATCCCAAAGGAGGCGCTGGGCCCAGGCGCCGATGCGAGAAACTGCGCGCGGAGCTGCGGACGTGTACAGTAGGGGCCCTTCCACAAGAAACCCAACCCGGAGACCCCAGGACGTCCATCGATCTTTGGTGTGGGAGCGTCACGGTTTCCATCGCCAAACCATCGAAACCCAAGAATCCCAGACATCCGACGTCTCGATTTTTTTCGAGACACGGGCCCCCGACCTCCCAACCACTTCCCAGGGACCGGTTCTTCGCCCCGAATCGTTTTTTGACGGTCCCGAGGCCCGGCGAGGGCCCCAGGAGGCCGAAAACAGCGAAAAACCTCCGTCTCGATCTTTGTTCGAGACGCCCGATGTCTGGGATCCCCCAGGGCACACCGGAGGCGAGCAGGGTGCTCCGTGGCATGGGCCCCCGCTGTGTGCCCCGTGCCGTCGAGTCTGCTTGGCGGCGCTGCGCCGGCGGGGCCGCATCACCACGCGCTGTGCGTGAAGCCCAGGACGTTGCTCGCGCTGTCGCTGGGGCTCACGCTGCTCACCTCCGACGAGGTGCCGTCCCCGCGGCGATGGCCCCTGGAAGAGGGTGCGCCCCTGGCGGGGGAGCCAACACACGACGCAGACACGGACGTGCCAGCAGTCGGCGGCGAGCGAGGGGGGGGGGGGGCACGTCGAGCCTCGACTCTCGATCCTCGAACCTCGAACCTCGACCCTCAAGCCTCGGTCCTCAAACCTCGATCCTGAGCCTATCCCCCCTGGGCCTACTATCCCCCCCCCCCCACGTCGGCGGCGCGCCCGGGGGGGAAGTGAGAAGGGGCAGGAAGTCAACGCGGCGCTGAGACGAGTCCCTCGCTCAGCTCCATCGGAGATCTGCGCGCTCGACGGCGAATCCCGCGTTGCGTTTCTCGCGCGCACTGATCCCCCGCGCGCCCACAGCGCCATTTCTCGGGCAGTGTGTTCGGGAGTTACTTCAGGCCGCCGATCACACCACCCACGAAAACGCCCTTGCAATCACCCCTGTTATCACCGCCCAATGATCCAATTATTTAAGTCCCACGTTAAATCTGTGTATACAGCGCGTGATGGAAGCTGCGGAGGGTGTGAGGCCTCATGGCGGCCCTCACTGGTAAGGCCTATGATGGACCTCACCGATGGGGGGACAGAAGAACACCTGAGAAGGGTAGCGATGGAGAGAGCGTGGCAGCGTCGAGCCACTGTGTTCCTCCCCCCCGCTCCTTGAGCGCGACGACTGCCCGCCCCCACCGAGGCCCGCGGCGTGCCCTGATGCGCCGCCGAGGGCCGCCTGCAGCTCGAGGATGACCAGCACCCCAGCCTGCTTCCCGCGCCTCGGGAAACCAAAGGCGACGACGACGACGACGACGACGACTCAGCCGATGACGACGGCGACTACGGCGACAACGACGACGACGACGACGACGACGACCAAGCCGACGACGACGCTCAGCTGCCCCGATACGCAACACGCAACACGTAGCGTATTGATACGGAGCACAACACGCAGAACGAGATCGTAGGCCTGACGCGACGCGGTCGCCAAAAAGTGGGCCAACACGTTGAGCCAACACGCCACGTACTGACACGCACGTTTTGAGCACGGTACGCGCTGCGTCCCACCACGGGCGCATCGAGGCAGCTGAGCTCCAATAGTGACTACCTCCCAGACCACCTCAACCTAACCAGAAGAGCCAAATTTTGGGTTGGGGGCTTCCCAGTTCTGCACGTGCTTCTTCGATGTTCCCCGACGCCACGGGGGAGAAATGAGAAGGGGCGGCCCTTCTCCGAAAGCTCTCTGCCTGAAGTCCAGCGGCCCTCTGAGCATTCCGAGGCTTCCCCGAAGACGCAGGAAGCTTCCCAGAAGACCGGAGGGCTCCTGCGGTATCCTGCAGCCTTCTGAGAAGGCCCTCTCCTTCTCACTTCGCCCCCTCGCTCGCCGCCGACAAATGAAGTCGGAGAACATGGGGTCGGAGGAACGCGTCGCATCGCCGATTCATCGGCGATGCATCGGCGACGTCGGCGATGCATTGCCGCCGTCGGTGTGGCGAAACTCTGGCTCCACATCGATCCGCATCGCCGATGCATCGGCGATGAGGCGCGGTCCTCCGATCCCATCTGGTCGGACCCCATCTTGGAGGTCTGGAAAAGAGCGACACGCACTCAAACCTACAGCCATGAGAGCCTGGCGTGCTAATTGTTTCAAGTT